CGCTTTATTGGGCGTGAAAGAGAGTGTTGTTCGTCAAATGTTAATCAAAGAAAAATTAAAAAGACATGTTCTAGGCAAATGGATCATAAAATTATTCGACGAGTCACTTAGATAAGTTAACGATATTAGGTTCGCACGGAATGGTGCACTACGGAGTTCTTTTTCATGTCCAATTCGGGGATCCAAAATCCCCGTAAAACCCTCTAGCCCCAATTGCTATCAATCACGTTCAAGCAGGAGAAATCTTCTGTAATACACGTCTATCGAATTGTAAGGAAATCGATAACAGAAATATACGAATTCAATTGTCAGGTACCGTGAATAATCAGAATGTTCGTGTGACTTTTTTATACGAGTTTAAACTTGAAAAAGTCACTGAAAGCGTAAATTTAGAATTTGATGAAGGTTATGTAAATGTCAGGTCCAGGATAGTGCGACGTAGCTTTGAGAGATTCAAAGTCCGTGATTTTTCGTTAGAAAATAAACGAAAAGGAAGGTCAAAAATACCGTGATCGATAATATTTCTAGAGATGGCACTGAAAATAATCAGAAAACAATTATAGAAATGATGTTTCTAATCGAGGTCAAGAAAGTAGGTTCTGTTGCTATTTGCTACTTGGCTGAAACAGTGAAACAATGAACTATAATTGAGCAAATGTCTGATTAAATCAAAGAAGTACTATTTATGTGGTAATTATTGTATAACCGAAAACTAAGTAATTCTAATTAAATAATTATAAAATAACATTAATTAAAATTAATATAATTAAATAATATATTAAAAAGTGTTTCGAAATACGTCACAAAGAAATTTTTCTTTTTGAGTATCTTTTTTTGAGAAAATTGATGTAGAAAATTCGAGGACTGCGTGTTATTTTGTTTAATTATTTAAGTTTTAATAATACGAATTTCACTGTAGATTGTATTTATTCGTATTCGTAAAAATTTCCAACATTTTTATATTTGCAAAAATAACTAACAATAAGAAGATCGAATTATAAAATAACAAAAAATTTCTTTTTCTTTTCTCTTCTTTCTTCTCTTTCTTTTGTGGGAGGAAAGGAATAGGAAAGATGGTCCACATTAAAATTCATGGAATTAAAATTTGATTGAAACGCGCATTCATTAATTTTCAAACTCAGTTTTCTGCGTGGAAAATGAAATCTCGAATGAAAAAATTGTATTTTTCCTTCCTGATTTATTTTTACATATAGAATCACTTCCTCTCTGGTTCTACCACTTGTTATCAGACACCCTGTATAAAATCTTGGATATGTAACGAGGAATTTTAATATCTAGACACCATAAAATTTTTATTGCGTCTTGGTTTATTTTATTTACAACGAAGAAAATAAATATTATTTTGCATATGGAACAGAAATATAATTCAATATATTATTTCATAAAATTCTTTCATTTTACAAAATAATTTTCTAATCAACTAAATTTCATGTATAGTTATCTACGATTATAATTTCTTAAGTTAAATTTGCGTTAGGTCATTACAGGATTAGATGTATCCCATATTGATTGAAACAAACCATCATGAAAATGCATTTCTCCTTCCATAATAAAGGGTATATTAATTGGAGCAATTACAATAGTATTTCTGGTAAAATATTTTTGGCCAAACGCAATAATATGAAATTATTTAACTATAATTTTTCAGATATGAAGTGCTATACTTTAGTAAGCATAAAATGCACCAGGATGTTAAGTTCATAAGGTATGAAGGAGGAGCAAAAAGAGAACAATTTAAATTTTTGTTTATTATCAAAAAGAAAATAGCGAAGGAATAAGTATTTTTATCAGGAATAGTATTAATTATGCTTCGAGTAAAAATTGTATCTGTGCCTAAAGTCATCTGGAAGATGCATATAGCAAATTCTGCTATACTTTATTTTCTTTCACACAATTAATCACAGTTTTACTTTTATCCAAATTTTGCACGCTATTCTAATATTACCTAGATCACAAATTATGTAGACACCTACATAACTACATATAATAGATAGTGTTTATATTATAGAAATATATTAATAACACTCTAGGTATAAATTTGGACTCAAACAATTTAAATTAAATTTACACAGAGAATTGAATTAATGAATTATGAAACAATGAAATAATTGATAAAATAATTGAATTAATCAATTGCATTAATGAATTCACTGTGAGGAAAATTGGCATAAGCATGGATATATTTTCATATTTTCTTAGGAAACTAATTATTTAATTTATGAAAAGTCGATTAAGGAATTAAACTATAGGTACACTTGTACTGTGTACAAGTATTGAATGAGAAATATTTTGTAATTATGCATGTAAATTACTGCTTCTATATGACTAAACTAATGAACGAAGAAATAAATTCTTCTATAGATGAATTTCTCGATTCTTATCATATACCAATATAATCTGATTGCGAAAATAGATGAAATAGAATTTACCGCAATGCGGAGAATCCGTTACTGTTTCCGTTGTAAGTGGCTGCGGGCCTGTGCATGTGAAGAAACTACCGGTAATTAAGTTATTCTGATTTAAGAATTTTATTTGCGTGACTTTCATGGTTTCATTTACAATTTCTTCGCGAGCTAAAAATAATTTGAATACGAAATACTATTTCTCCATTTAAATATCTTGGTTCAATATAAACTTTAATAACAAATGATTATTTATTGCAAATTATACCTTAAGTGCAGTTTTAAATGTTATTAAATAATTGCATCTTAAAGCTGATTTCTTGTTTATTTTCTATTAAATTATTAAATTATTGTCATATTCTATTAAATTTTCTATAAATATTATTTATGCAGGATGTAAAAAGTAATATTACAATTAATTACAATACATAATTTTATTTTGCTCGGTTCCCTTGTATGATATTATAGTAATATTTTTTATCATTTTTCGAAAAATTTCTGGACTTATAGCAAGAAATGAATAAAAACTACAGAGAAATAACAATTATTTATTGATATAAGTCATTTCCATGTTTTATTTATGAGATTGGAATTAAATATTTGAAGACACATTTTTATATTGTAAGTGTCTTCATTCCATCGCTACTTTTCATAATAAATACATATTATTTTTATTATGTACTTGCTTTGCATTTCATGGTATATGTAGTTGACATAATTATCACATGTAGTCTTGTTTCATGTGATATAATATAAAAAAATGTGAAAAAGAAATGTTATTCTGTTTAACTGACTTGTTGGAATATAATTTAATTTAAAAAAAAAATTCATAGGTGAAAGGTTATTTCAGTATTAAATTGGCTTTGATATATTGTAGAAAATTTTTTAAGTGAAAGAGTAATTAATTTTATAGAAAGTACGGGATAGGAAGATTTTATAAAATAAATAGTTTCAAAATATGTAATATTGTATTATATTACATAGGATGTTATATAGTATTAAATTGTATAGTTTGTTATATATTATAACATATCATATTATACATGTTATAGTATTTATAGTATTACTATATCATTATAGTGATTATAGTATTTATAGTATTACTATATTATTATAGTGGTTATAGTATTTATAGTATTACTATATTATTATAGTAATTATAGTATTTATGATATTTACTGTAATACATTTCTACAACATATTATAATATATTGAGATTAACAAATTTTCATATTATAGTAATTGTGATTGCAATTATCTGTCGTAATAACAATGATATTTTTATACTTCCCCTTTGAGCTAATTTCGCAAATGACTCACAACTTACGAGGTTCATTGACGCTCACCACCTCGATTTCCGAAGCTATTTTTATAAATCGGGGTTTCTTTCTGATCAAACATTGATCAGTTTTACATTCGTTCAAACATAATTGCATTAAATTCTCCAATATCACGAAACAATTTATTTGTCAATCAAAACACGACCGTACGCTGAAAACCATTTACTTCCCTTCCATTAATTTGAAAACCATTTGATGCAATACAGATTAATCGATTTGCGTAAAAATACGAACATGTCCATTACATCTATTCGAAAGCTTTACTTCTGTCTCAATAAACTAAATTAACTAACCTCAAAATAAAATGACTACGCGGTACAATATAAACAACGTATCTTTCTTCAAAATAGATTTAAACTTCAATTCGAACACTTTTCCAATTACCAAATCCATTCTGGAACTAATCTTGCGAAAAGAATAAAAATTAAATACTACTATTCCTACAAACTGAATTAACTAACCTCAAAATAAAATTATTCCGTGATACAAAATAAACAACATGCATATATTTCATCAAAACAGACTTATATACCTATTCGAACACTTTTCCAATTGCTAAAGCCATTTTGAAACTAATTTCGCAAAAAGAATAAAAAATAAATACTTCTATCCCTACTAACTAAATTAACTAACCTCAAAATTAAATGACTACAGCACACGATATAAGCAGCTTATATATTTTTCGTCAAAATAGATTTAAACATCAATCCGAACATTTTTCCAATTAGCAAAACCCTTTTGAAATTAATCTCGCAAAAGGAATGAAAAATAAACACTTGTATCTCTACAAATTGGATTAACAAACCTTAAAATAACATTACAATAGCACCCAATACAATTTCAATATAAACAACGTAAATATCCTTAGTGACAACAAATTTGTACTCCAATTCGAGTACTCTCGTAACTGCAAAAATCGCTGTAAAACTAATTTCACAAACTAATTTTCAAACGAACTAGAAATCCCTATAGAAAACTGTCGCGACGCTCGTACCGCGGTTAAATCGGCGATGCGATACACGATGGCGCAACGGTCGCTGTAGTAATCGCAATACGCGCGATCAAATGTTTCGGAAACTTAAACGGCAACGGCAACCACGCGAAGTTGCGGCCATGCAACAGTGTACCAGTGTCTCAAGTTTCGGAGCACGATTTCTGGAGACTGCGTATAAAGGCGTGCCAATATAAACCGCAAGGTTCATTTGTTGCTCGAAGGCTTGTGGCCGGCGAGCAAGCGGCGAACGACCAGCGTGCAGTGTTTTCGTTGCCACGGACCGAGTGCTTGCTCTGTATACTGTGCGCGCGTGCCACGCAGGCCGGAAAGGTCAGCACCTACCTACGTCCTCTCTATTAACGATTTGTATCGCGTTCACGCGCAAATTGCCATTAATACCGCGGCTTGGGAACGAACCGATTGTTATCGCCCGTGTTTTCGGAAGTGCTCGTTGTTTCACCCACGATATCGCGAAAAATCAACCTCACTACCTTCCTTCTTTATACTACTTTGTTTACGATAGCTTGTTTACTTGTTTACCGATTGATGTTATTTAGTTTACTTTCCTTTTTTATTCTCGTTTGTTTTATTATTAGCCAGAGATTAAATTATGTTTCATTCTTTTATTTATGGTAGAGGTACTCTATGTGGGTGTTGTTTGTTTTATTATTATTGAGAAATTAAATCATGTTTGATTCTTTTATTTATAATAGAGGTACTGTATGTGGGTGTTGTTTGTTTTATTATTATTATTGACAGATTAAATTATGTTTGATTTCTTATTTTTGGTAGAAGTACTTACTGCATGCGAGTGTTGATTTTTCGTGAGGGTTGATATAAAGCTTCATGGTTTATGGAGTGTGTGCAAGACTTTTGAACGAAACAGTGGAGGATGGATAGTTTACTTACAGTTACGTACAATTAATAGTTAAATATTTAGTATACTTTGTAACTGCAATAATCATTAATTTATTACAATAGTATATATTATTATATTATTATATATATTATTATCTATTTGTATATATTACAATAGTTATGAGTAATTTATACTTTTTAATGAGTTAGTCTGCTTGCAAAAGAAAATAGAGACATTATTGCATTGTCATTTACATGTCGAATAAATATCATTCTATTAAATTATTTAACCGTAAAGAATTTCTAGAAATATTTATTAACAAAAATAATAGGAACCAAAGCTACTTTTGGGCAAAATATTTTTACTCCGCAATTTTGACAAATTTTTATACAAATGTAGAATTAATATAATCACAAATTTTATTTCTTACTCCTATTAATGGTTAAAAATATTTCGTGATAGAAATTTGTTAAACATAATTATTTCTAAAGAAACTAAATTGTTGCCACAAAAATTGTATATAACAAATAATAAGATTATAAATAATAGTATTATAATAATAGTATAAACTAAACATAAAAATGACGCGAAACAAATAATAATACCATAAATAATAACACAAAACAAATGGTAGTAGTTAATAACCGAAGCATTTAACGCAGTTTAAAACTCGCAAAAAAATAAAAATAAAAAATCTGGTTTTACCTTTTTTTACTACGTGTAACGTGAAAAAACTAAAGCACTGTCTGTGTCTATAGATCGATATTTTTAATGGAATAGCCATTGCGTGGGTCTGCACAAAAGTTATTCTACTAAAATTTCCCAGCATGCCATGCAATAACCTGGACACAGCAGCTGGTATTTCTCACAACTGTAAAAATCTCGCAGTATCCCATAAATGTAAAAGTTAAAAGAACATTAACGCGAAATTGAAATTTTTTCCGAGTCGCAATTGGTTAATAAATCATTTAACATTCAGGGCAGATTTAAATAATTTTTCTGTGCCAATATCTCTGTATATTTGTTTATATTCTTTCATTGTAAGTCGATAATATCGTCACGCGATATTAACTAATACAAATTTCATAAATATGTTGCAGATCACGATTGGAATGAATTTATTCGTGTCTTACCTGGACAGAGAGATGCAAATACGATGTTCCGTCTGGACGTCCTTCAGGATCATCCTGCAATAACGGTATTAATCATTTTAAACAATTCTTGTTGTTTCATACAAGATCTTTGTGAGCTTCCATAACAGAATTTAATTAATAGAGAAAATACGTAATAATTAAAAAGGCAAGAGCAAAGCCTTCAGTATTACAATCGAATTAATTAAATTAGTATTTCAAGAGTCAAAATTAAATTATTCGCCAAGGGAGATTATTTGTATACTTAACTGATTGTGAGTAAAATATAATAAGTCCACGTGAGAGAAAAAATTTTTATAAAATATTCGTCAAAAGTGTTTTAAATGCGTATTTTCATATATGTATAAAATGTATGAAATATATAGGGACAGAAATTTACAATGAAGAATAACGCTGCGATGTACAGGGTGCTTCGTAATTAATAATGGAACCGAGTAAATGATTCTATATACATGGAAAGAATAAGATAAAAGGGAAAGAATAAGATGAAAAGAATAATATGAGATTTTGTTTCAATATTTATTTTTGAAATATTGAGGGATGGTTTTCGATATTGATTTTTGAAATATCGAGTCTTGCGTTTTCAATAAGTGGCGATATACTATATACTATGTGTATACTGAAACTTTTAGTTTGCATACTAAAAGTTATTAATTTGCATTAAATGTAGAACAGAGAAAAAAAATATTCTATTCGTTTTACTTGAATTTACTTTTAACACTCTCAACGTTCTACAATCCTATTTCTAACATAGTAGTAGGATGAGTCGTTTTAGCAATTCTTTTATCTTCCCTTAAATGTCTTAAGTTAATACTAACTTTATGTCTACTAGTTTCTTATTTTTGTACTCTATTCTGTCAGTAACACACCCTCTTTCTATGTAAATATTATATTATTAATGACAAATATTGGATTTAAGTTAATTAATAATGAAATTATCTCCGTGTGTCCAATTTTCGTAAGGTTAGAAGACTACTGCACAAAAGTAAGGTTAGGAAATTGGTGTACCAAAGTTTCGCACGAAAGTAAAGTTAGGAAACTTGTGTACCAAAGTCTCGCACGAAAGTAAGGTTAGGAAACTGGTGTACCAAAGTCTCGCACAAAAGTGAGGTTAGAGAAATGCTACTGTATAAAAACTTCGCACAAGAGTAAGGTTAGGAAACTAGTATACAAAAGGGTCACGCAAGAGTAAGGTTAAGAAACAACTGTAGGAAAGTTATGCGAAAAAGTGAGGTTAGGAAACTACTGTGCAGAAGTTGCTCGCGAAAGTGAGGTTAGAAATGGCTGTACTAAGGTCACGCGCAAAACTAAGGTTAGGAAACTACTGCACAAAAGTTTTGCGTAAAAGTGAGGTTAGGAAACTACTATACAGAACGCAAAAGCCTATAAATACTCGAACGAGACAGGTATTGTATATCCTTTGATGCTCTAGAAATCTAAGTACATTTTCGACAGTATAGTAAAACACGTTGCATCGTCATCATTCTTATTTTATATTGAATAATTAACACTGATTTTGTGTCTACATCGATGCTTGATCCCTCTATCTGTTCGTGTTTCTCCATTTTCCTCATCATACGTGACAATGTAATTCTGTTTGTAAGTGTGACACTTCCAATCAATATCGAGAATTCATGTAACCTATTTCTACGATTGTATCTGGGAAAATGAGTCTGTACAGTGTGTCCAATCAGATTTGAATCCTTTCCATGTTCAAACTTCTGAGTTCTATACATTGTGACACGAATCGAGTTTCTGATTTCGTACATTTTCAGGGTATCCGTGAAATATGCATGCACTATACCTATCCAATGCAATGTAATTTTCTAACTAAAAATTGGGAAGAAATCGATCATTCGCAAGATTTTAGCTCTCATTCTATGTGAGATCTTTTTAACCCTTTAAGGAGCGAATGATTAACTAATAAATCGCAATTAAAAACCCAAAGAAATTGATATTTTAGAAAATTTATTGGTATTTTAAAATGATATACCAAGCGTTGAATTATCTCAGTAAATATAATAGTATTGCGTTAACGCAAAATAAAGAGAATTTTGTATAAAATAAATGTTTAAATATTTTTGGAATAAATTTGGAAATACTCGTGGAGAAACTCGTTTTCTATTTGTGTAAATGTACAATTTAGAATACGTTTTAACATTGTCTATTGCAGTTTACTCGCTGTTTCCTTCCATCACGCTAACTCACCGACTCGTTCTCGCTTTTTCCTACCACTCTTCTTCACAGTCATACCAATCCTCTTTCTATTCATTCTCCACTCGTTCCATTTCATTCATACAAACTCGATATAAAGCTATATCCCTCACAGTATTTATCGATTTTTTATGCATTCATCTACTTGCAATCGTGTGGTCACTATAACTCATATCAGACTGCACGTATTTTTCACAGCCTGGAAGTCAGATAACCATCAAAGATCTTTCTGTCGATTGTTCGTAAACTGAAACTTCTAATCTTCGTAAGCCAAATGAAACTGTTCTTTTCTGCAATATACTAAATACCCAGATTTTATCTTATTTCTTCACCTCAATTTAATTATGACTTTTGCATAAGTATGTTCGAAAAAGAACTAATTGTTTGTTGATGCATGGAATGTTATTTCATTATGCTATGTTCAGTTTCAACCTATGTGTCTTGGAAGATAGAGAATATTCTGAAATTCCCAAATGATTACGTTTTTTCTTAATTTTCGTCAGTAAGTGTATGTAAGGATACTGTTTGATTGGCAGATATGGAGAATAAGAGATATTATCTTATTCTGAAATATATATTTATTAGGAGCTAAACGAGACTAGGAATGAAGTATAAACTAAAAGACTGGACTGATAACTGATCTATGATTACGCAACCGATCGACACTCTCACGTCAACTCTCGCTAAAATGTCTGTGAAGGACTGTCCCAAGACAGCCCTTGTTGCGTCGTGGAACAAAGAAGACCCGTTATGATCTTCCAACAGCCAGGTCTTAGGGTCAAACAATTCGGCATCGGAATTTCCCGCTCCATGCCTCCAGCATGTTTGACTGCTTTACCTTTTTTAAAATATATACAAATCAATTTGTTTTGTAGTTATAAGCACTTGTACCACAATAACCATTGTTCCGTCCCGGAGAGCGAGTTTATAACATAATTTTATTCTAGGGCTTGCACTTTTGCCAGACCTAACGGTTTATTTTATATTTTATACCGCGACTGCAATTCCGGAGGATAGATGTGCCTCAACGCCGTTTTAGCGGATTAAGTTTATAAAGGTAAAGCAAAGTTTAGGAATTTTACAACTGCCAGACTCGACAGATGGGACCCACGTGTGACAGACCCAACAAGCGATGGACGGACACCACTTATAAATCACGTCATTGACCATCAAAAATCGACTCCTTGACAGTTTCCTACTCCTTAGCCAAAGGTCCTTCCGTCACACCCTCTGTCCAATTAAAACTCCTTACTTTTCCACCACCAACGTTTATTTTGCCCAATCAGAACTAAACTGGAGAAAACACCGGACAGGACACGACGAGACACGACATAGATCAAATTCGAGAAATCAGTTCGTCTTCGACACCGATCCTTGAAACATCTTACTTGCACGTATAAACGCGTGTTCGAAACGGTACTCCGTTCAACGTCTCCGTTATAACTATTCTATACTTTTCTATAAATAAACACTCTCTTTTGACCACACACTTTGGATCCTTATTATTACAACTAGTCACGCAATATTAATTTGGCGCGTGATAAGCGTTCTAGGACATCGAAGGGATTCGATAAATAGGACACTACAGCAGGTTCTCGTTAACAACCGAACAAGACATATAACATAGGCAATCTCATCCAGTAAGATTGTCGCTATTACATTGTGGCAACATCATTCTCACCCCCGCCACTACTTAGATCGATTCCAAGTTCAAGGAAGTTCGAGGATTTTCACGCAAGTCCTCGATAAACCCTTCGCTTCCTATACAGGGTGTTCCAACAACGTTAGTACAACCGGAAAGGGAGTGATTCTACAAACAAGAACGAATTGAAAAAAAAGAATAAAATTTTTTAATTCGAAGCTTCGTTTTCGAGAAAATTGACCTTAAAGCATCAATACATGAGTATCGGTGGAATAATCGAGAAGAAAATGATTCTACGTGAAAAAACAAATCGAAAATAAAGAATAAAATTTTTTCATTCGAAGCTTCGTTGCCGAGAAAATCGACTTTGAATATGCACCGGGTGCGCTGGTATACTGATGCTCCCACCCGCTTAAGCCAAAGTTAAGTGCACGCGTATTCGGGGAATATTCAAAGTCTATTTTCTCAACAACGAAGCTTTAAATCAAAAAATTTTATTCTTTATTTTCGATTTATTTTTTCATGTAGAATCACCTTTTCGTCAATTGTATCACCGATACTCATGTATTGATGATCTACTCATATAAGCCATAGCTAAGTGCACACTCACTCGGTAACAATGCAAAGTCGATTTTCTCGAAAACGAAGCTTCGAATCAAAAAATTTTATTCTTTATTTTCGATTCGTTTCTGCATATAGAATCATGTCCTTCCCGACTGGAGGAAGAATATAGAATTTTCAGACCTAGTTTGAGAAAATTTTGATTCCAAATTTTGGAACTTCGTAAGTATCTTTTTACGACACGATATTTCAGAAAGTTAAATAAGGAAAAATAAAAACAGATATTTTATTGCGTTATCATCAATGGTATTTTCTAAAAGATCTTTACTTTCATTGGATACTATAGTTGTTGGAGAAAGAAATGTAAATTGGGTTTATAAATGGTTCCTATGGTATTGGTTTTAAACAAGGATTTGGAGAATTTGATTTAAATATCTTTTTATTTTGTTTTTGTAACCAGTAATGATTTATATATAACATACTCTTTATTGATATTTTAGTTCCTATTCCTAAAAGAAGATATTTTTCTTACAAAATAAAATCGATATTTCAAATTTGGAGAATGTCAAGAATTTACAATGTTCCAGATTTTGATTTCGAATTTCGGAAGTTTACAAAATGAGAAAATTTCGAAATAATTCCAAATTTTAAATTCGGGTTTTGAAAACATAAAAATTAGCTTCAAACCTTTAATTTATTGTATCGAGTAATAAAGAATGTACTATAAAACACGATATGCAATGGGTAAAAAGGTATTTGCCCACTATATCGTAAGAAAATTTACCATAAATTCTGATTTTTAAATAAATTTAATAATAAATCAATTTTTAAATAAATTATTATTACTGTATTATTCTCTTAAGAAAGAAAATCTGAAGAAAAATTGGATTCAGAACACATTAAATCCATTAAGTCGATGTACAATAGTATATACACAGCCAACATACAAAGTTGTTCTCCTCAAAAACAAAGTCTCATGGCGAAAAGAATCTTCATTGTATATTTTAATCTTCTTTTTGTATATAAAATCGTTCTCTTTTCAATTATACTACCAATTACGAGATATTTCATTGAAACACGTTGGTATCACGAAGGAAAGCAATTTATCTCTCATTCTTCGCTTCGTCTTTTGCAGTGGCTATGGTGGAATGAAAGGAAAAGAATGCAGCACGGCAGAGGAGGCTAGATGAGCAGCAATTTTCAGAGAGGTGCATGTGCAGATCACCCAGCAATTGTACACGAAGCACGAAGTCGTACATCTCTGAGAGGAAACCTAAGTGGAAAGCACGTGTGTGGAAGAATTCGCGGTCCATACCTGGCCCGCCATTTTGGCGGCATGGTCCTTTGGGCCACTATACTATTCCTACAAGGAGCTGGTTTTGTAGGTGAGTTTCGATTAATCCTTTCAATTCGCTTATACCTGGAGTTTCAAATAGCTTTCAGACTTTCAGAAATAACTTTCGATAACTGTTATGTAATAGTTCTTGCCAACAGATTTATAAGCAATCGAATTGAGGTTATGAACGTGTTGTCGAAAGAGGTTCTTACCTAACCTCGTTCATGAAAGTATTCGATCGTATTAAACTGAGGTATTGGAAACAATAATGATGCATATAACAAGAAGGAAATTTTAATAATAATTCAAAAATCTTATTAATAATTCAACGATGTATATAGAATTTATAATATATTTATTATAAAAATGCAGCACTAGTGAGTCACAAAAAAATTTTTGAATTATGTATAATATTAGCAGAAAGTACCATTAATTAAAACATAAGAAGTTCTAATATTATGTTCATTCATTGTTGTTGCTCGTGGTAGCCTTAATACGATTTTCTACTTAACTCACTAGCGCCACCGCGGTTTATATCTACAATTGATATATCGTAAGTATTGTACACATCGTTGAATTATTTTCTAATTTTTCTGATATAATCTTAAAATATTACAATAAAATAAAACATTTTATTTATTCATTTAACGTACTATGATTAATAATTAATTACTACTAATGTCCTAACGTGTTATTGTTCATTTAAGGTACATATTTCAGTTATTGAACCTAGCGAATGTAAGTGTTCGAATACTTTCGTGCATAAGTTTGTATGTGTTTGTAGCAGATATAGAATCAAACTGGAACCGATATAGAACCGATACTTCCAAGGCAATTAAATATAAATTCGAGGTTTCTATTCTTTCCAACTGTTTCTGAAAATAATAATTCTCTGGAACCGTTTCGGTAAACCGGAAATCGAAATGTAAGTTTTCAATTTCTGATCACTGTACAAAGATATCATCGAAATAACTCTGAACTCCAAACTTACAATTAATTTAATTTATTGTATTTCACATTTTGAGACAATAGCCACTATTTATCTCACATTTATACGTTCTACATTCAAAGCTTGAAAGAAATGTACAAAGTTTTAAATAAATTGTACATTACTTTCTACTTCATAGTTCTTAGTTTGGGAAATAATCTGAACTCTCTTTTGCAACATTTTTATCTCATAAAATCCTAATATTAATATCGTGACGTGCCAAAAACGAGCAAATTCGTTGAACCGATTAGTAAATTCATGCTTCAGCGCCATCTGTCATGCTCAACTTGAGTTACTGGCGATCTCAGCGCCACGAACCAACGATACTCTAGAGAGTAAATCGATGGGTCTCTAGTGAGACCTAGTAACTAAGTGTACCGTGTGCCCCTATCGCGTAGGATACGAACATTAACAAATTTTATATTTGTCTCTGGGGAACTGAACTTTGCCTTTAGATATCGATCTTTCAATAGAACAGCATCGAATTAAAATAATAATACTCCATAATTCACTTAATATTAAAAAATATCTTTACACTTTGTTAATGAATTTCTTTTAATCATTCGAAGCAAGAATTAAGTTTTTCCACATCACAACTAGTACAAAATGAAAAGTTAGCCCTGGGTCATTTTCCCCTTCCTCGTTTTTTGATCATACATAAGCACATTTCTCTATTTGTCTGAGAAAGAGAAGAAAGGATTTATTTCTCGTTCTCCCCGGAGTTGAGAACACGGACCCCTACCGCGTAGAAATATGCGTCCATTGCTACTACACCAAACCATTACATAGTAACCTCTCTAAACAGAATTGAATTAAACCTACGATAAATCTTTAATCGCAAATATCTTAAAAATAATAATTTTTACTCAATAGAGTAATGATACCTATAATCATATACCTTCACCACCAGAACTATATCTACCATCCTACAAAATTTGAACCAAATCAGTAACTCGAAAGCTTTGCAGTCTCCTTGAAAGTAGGAAGCAAAACGAAATTTGCTTCACAATATATTGCTAAATATATTAACCCATTTGCATCCAAGCGCGGAATATTCCGCGAGCCACGACTGTCCTTTGTCACCGAGCGCGGAATATTCCGCGAGCCACGACTGTCACCTATCACCGAGTGCGGAATATTCCGCGAACTACGACTGTTACCTATCACCGAGCGCGGAATATTCCGCGAGCCACGACAGTCGCCTATCACCGAGCGCGGAATAATCCGCGAGCTGACTTTTTCCATTACCAGTTGCTGAATATTCTTCATATGCCACAGATCACGTTTGATCCCTTTTGCGAGCATCTCATCTACATCGGTTCATTATATTCTTAACAAGTTTTACTTTTGTCGTGAAAATCCTTTTAACTGCCATTATGAGTAGGTGTTGATACGCACGCAGTGATACGGGCTAGTCGTCAGTTGAACGTTGCTGATGCCTGAACACGGCACCTTAAGTAGAGCCATGATGCAAATGGATTAAAGAATAGTCCTATGAGATCTAATCGTTGTTCACGTGTGCTACACGAATAATAAATGATCGGGACAGTTCGCAATTTTCCAATAGCAATTCGGGATGCATTAGAAATCAAGTGTCCCAAGGTAATAGCACTCAGGGACTCATTTTAGGGCTCGGAAATTAACGAGGGACGAGCTAACTCGTTACGGTGCTTAGCCAAGATTAATCGTCGATTACTATGTGCGAACAACATATTAGTGGTCCATCGATAATTCTAGGAACTGATAGCTGGCAGATCATTGGCAAATCCTCAACGAATTTTGGCAAAGTAACATTATGCTAATAAATTCCGCACAGATGAAGCGCTGCTTATAGGATTATTGATCTATCGCTTGGTAATAGCAATTATGATAAAAATATCAAATATTTGCTGCAGTATTGAGTACAGTATTAACCCTCAGGAGAAGTCTCACAGGAGGAATGCATAATAGATCTAATTAGTCCCAGTGGAAGATAAAGGTCTTGTTTAACACGCATTTGCAATTTTAGCCTAACTACTACAGCTAACTATAGAGTCCAAGGTTGAAGCTGTCACACATATCACCTGGATTGTGCGATGAAGTCACTCGACGAGATATTTTACGATCAATAGATAGAGAAATCAACTTGCTCTTCGTGCGACTTGTTGTGAGGTTCGTGTCTTAGGTGCCTACAGGTAGCCAGATCGACCAGAGTCGTAAACCTTTGCTTTCACACTGAGAATATTGTCATCCCTGTGACGTGTGCCAATAATCTCTCCATTTGTCGTGGTAAATGAAAGTTTGAGAGGGTTTGCAGTCGAATCGGGAGAATGATTTATTATTGGATGTATTTCCAGATTCAAAATAGTAACTTAGGATGTCTTCGAGAAATATACAGTCGATTTGGAATGGGTTCCTCTGTTAGCTTCATATTAAGTACATTATATTGTATTAGGTTGGCAACTAAGTGATTGCGGATTTTGTCAATAGATGACTTTTGCACATTCTTTTGTTTTGCCAGCGTGTTCAAGGCACCTAACTTATATTGTTCTCTTGTTGTTTGGACTTCCGCCTTTAATTTAGTTGAAAAATTGTATCGATTAGTTATTTAGTTTCGTTTTTATTCCAATTTAAAAATGGAAGAACAAGACGCGCATTTCGGACATATTTTATTGTTTTATTTCCGAAAAGGCAAGAACGCATCGCAAGCACGCAAGAAGTTACGTGCCGTATATGGGAATGAAGCCTCGAAAGAAAGACAGTATCAAAATTGGTTTGCCAAATTTCATTCTGGTGATTTTTCACTGAAAAATGCGCAACAATCTGGCCGTCCAGTTGAAGTTTATGAGACTCATATCAAGGCCATTATCGATTCAGATCGTCATAGCACAACACGTGAGATTGCAGAGAAGCTCAATGTATCGCATACATGCATTCGAAAGAAATTAAAACGGCTTGACTATGTCAAGAAACTCGATTTATGGATCTCTCATCAGCTTAAGGAAATTCATTTGACGCAACGCATTAGCATCTGCGATTCGCTTCTGAAACGCAACGAAATTGATCGATTTCTGAAACGACTGATAACTGGCGACGAAAAGTGGATAGTTTATAACAACGTTAATCGGAAAAGATCGTGTGTAATGTAAGATGAACCAGCCCAGACGACACCGAAATCTGAGATTCACTAAAAAATTTAGTATTTTCCTTCTTATTTAAAATCCGCAATCACTTAGTTGCCAATCTAATAGAAGTTTTGAAGCCAAATATATAACAGTGAAAACATTCTAGCAGATAATTCCATGTTAAACTTTCATATATTGTGCGTACGTACAATTCAGAATTTATTTCATTAAAACTTTAATTAAAAAAGTAATTAAAAGAATGTTAAAACATGTTAGCTTTTTAGGAATTATAGAGGGGTTTATGACTACCAGTTTTAAGTAATTTATGTCGAGTATTTGGCGAATATTCGAAATCAATTAGTCAAAATTTAAAATCAATTAAATAAAAATTATTTAAAGGAAATATTGTGTACAAATCTTATTCTATATTTCTGATTTATATTTTCACGTAGATTCGTTGTTTGGTCCTTTGTGCCACTAGTCATCAATCACCCTGTATATTTAATACGACTTAGTCGAGTGTTTTGAAAGTTTGACGATGACTCGAGGTAATTTATTGTTGGAAATGATTAAATTCATGCTGCAGTTGCCACATAAGAACCCATCATTTATAATTGAAGTCATTTGTAATTAAATTCTTTTCTGGAATAGAATTTTAAACTAGGAGACACATCGTTTGTTTAAATTTTGAAATAAACTATATTTGTGCTTCTCTGACAAAATTTTAAGTTAAAAGACACTACGACTCTTTTTTAATAAAACTAAAAATTCAATACCCATTTTATAACTAGATTTATAAAGCAAAAGTTACTATATTTTTTTCTTTTTTAAGTGGAATTGTGCACTGAGGCACTATATATATATTTGTAATTTTTTGGAATAAAATTTGAATTAAAGAACTAGAATTTTGTAATTTAAAAAATTTTGAAAGTTTCCTTCATCTACATATATTTAAAC